GGTTAAGCAAACTGATGACAACTAATAATTGTTACCAGTGATAAGGTCTACTCATATTTTTCAGTAGTTAAATTCACCTTGTCTCCTTGATCATGTTGCCCAATTCTGTTCCAAACTTCAATAACCATAAAGTTATTACACACCCGCTGTAATAAACTTGATGTTAGCAGCACTGGTGCAACCTAGGTGATATCAAAAGATGAACCACAGAGAAAGTCATAATGGTGCAGTAGTTACTGCATTCTTGTCAAAACACCGCATTACCTTCCTGAATAATAGAATTCAATTTCACTCCAACTGATTCTTCCACCCACAAGGACAAATACATCCTAGCCAACAACGGGGAGACTTGATGAATTGCTGAGGTGGGGGGGGGGAGAGTTACACAATACCTGTTGTGAAAAGTTGTTTTAGCATATATTAAAACAGTGAGATAATAAAGTACAAAAAGGTGATTTTAAGTAATTAGAATATTTTTCAATATAAATCATGTGTGAGTAAAGGATATTCAAATCTGCCTCACTGTTTTAGTATATACTGAAAGAAGGTATTCATCTTTTCACAAGCATGGGATGAAAAAATAATGTTGCAATATGGTAACTTGTGATGTAGATTACTACATAAGTACAGTCAACAGTTGACATTTTGTTGTCAAAACATCATCTTCTGTACAAAGAACCCCATCATGCTCATTGCATGTTCTAATAACAAGTACAAACTCTCTTTTAACATACCAAGTACTTATCAAAAATAATAAAATCATATCCCACAGCACTACCAACTAACCTGTTTGAAGCCAAATGATGGATTTGACTCACCCCAACATACCCTTGATTTAGACAACTCTTCACACCAGAAAGTGCGACAGACAAGGTAAAGGTTGCTCTTAACAGCAAGACTAGTAGGAGTGTATTTGTTTGCATGGTGTCTTTGTTGGGTGAGTTGTTGTCCTTCAGGTATCCATAGCAAGCTGTATAAAGTTAAAGGATCTCTGTCATACTGAATGCCATCTTCATGATTACCATCTTGGGAGGAAGGCTTGCTTGTAGTCTTAAGAATTTCTTTCATCTCATGAGGTGCCTTATCAGAGACCTTCCCAACATTCTTTATGTCAGTATAAGCAGGTCTTGCCACATGCACATGCTCAGTAGCAGTGAGTATTGTTGCAGTTGGAAGTGGAGGCTTTCTGTGCCTTTTGGTTTTCAGATGAACTTGTTTTCTATCAGCCATTAACACTACTTTTACCTGCATGACAGTCACACAAAATTTGATGAAGATATGAAAGTATCAAACCAAGGATAAAAATCTAAAGAAAGTACTAGAATATAAATTTACTGTGAAAATAAGAATATCAAAAGAAAGAAAATGAATGTAAGAATTGAAAGAAATGCAAGTTATTAACCAGACAGTGAGCATGTAGTGAAGTTATAGGTCTGATGCAACCAAACTCACAGAGAAATTCAAATCAGAGAGCAACAAAACTTATCTACTATGCATTAGTATCCAGGGAAATCACTGGCTAAAAATAGCCACTTCGAAATGAAAGGCAAGCTTAAAATTATCTTGGTGATGGCAACTGTTCATTATTCTCATGTTACTCCCAATATTAGGTTTGACCTTGTACAATCGTTCATGCTAATCCTTTGCTGATGAACAATTCCTCTAACAAAACAAACACCACAGTAAATTTCCTGAACATATCTGTGTAAAGAACTTGTTGGACAATGACTTTCTTAAAATCCTTGAAATACCAACTTCAGAGCATAAAGCTGAAACTTGGATTTCTTACCAGCAATGGACCACATGATCCACGGATGTCATGTAGAGAGGATGAGTCAGAGGATTGTTTTTCTTTAGAGTGAATATCACATTTGATTTGTAGCGAGGCAGAAGAACTGAGGGTGTCGGACAGAAGAACTGTCTTCAAGGGGAATGTTGCCGCTCCGATAACAACTGGCTATAATCAAAGTTAATCAATACACAGAAAATAATTGCTAAAAAAGGGGACTATTTATTACACACAAACAACCGTATAATTACAGTCACTGAGTAATCATAAGGCATTCTATACCCCTACTGCCTGTTCATTATGCTCTATACAGGTGCAATTTAGGCAACCATACTCTTAACATTACTATGAGGAAGGTTGGCAAGAAAGGGGCAATTCTTATGTCTAAGGAAGGAGGGGGGGAGGGTTGGGATAAGGAAAATGTCTTTCCCTTTCCCTAATCTTTTCACTATAGCCCTAAATTAAACATAACAGTTGGCTGAATGATTATGAGTTTGTAAAACTAACTTGCCTTCCCTCAGGTTCTGCACTACACAGTTATTATAATAGTAAATTGCTGAAACATATCTAACTTGTCAAGTATTCATCAGAGGGGGGGGGGGGGTAAATATCCACAACTTTTGTCAACACTGACAGAGGTGACTAATTGTTTTAGTATTTAACACAAAAAAAATAATAATATAACAGCAGTGTTCATTTCATGGTGCTAGTATCACAAACTACATCAAAAATATAGAAAAGACTTCTGACCACAACCATTTCATTTTGGACATCCACTCCTGAATGTGCCCTTTGTTGATCGTGGATTATTCTCAACATTAAAAGTGTCACTTAGTTCACACAAAGAAAACTTACTTTTCTTTCTCCAGACTCTCTGAAGTAAAGTCTGAATGTCAAAGGAAGTCTCCACCAGTAGTCTATAACTACAGAATTAAACAATACAGGAAATACAGAATGATGGCCAAATAGCACCACTGTAGGAAAAAAAAATACAAAGTGAGATCAATAAATTGCTATAATAATGTAAGGTGTGTTCTCCAAGTTTTAAATCAAATAGTCATAATGTGAATGTATAAACTTCTCTTAAATGCATGACAAGCTACAGACAATAAAATAGAATGATGAATGAGTTACTTAATTTAGGTTATACATGACTCTGTAATTGTGAAAAATCTGGCATTGTTTTTCCTTTTTTTTTCAGTTAATCTGTTGCTTATCATTCTTGGTAAATATCATATGACTTAAAGAAATACTCTAACCTGTTAAGAGTCTGAGATCATTTTGATTCATGAGTTATTACTACCATATACACCAACAAGAGTCTTGAAGTGGATGAGCAATATGGCATTGAAGACAAGACAATGTTAAACATGATATTAAGCTCTTGGTATGAAACGCTTTTCGTCAAACATAAGAGACCTAGGTCATCTGTGACACAAATGCAGTAGTTATCACATCAGAGATGTTTTCAAATTTAAGCCCCCCAGCTATCTTTCTTGGTCATACCTTTATTATACTGGTAACTAAAATGACTACAAAAATTGAAAGGAGAAGATTTACCACAGATTTCCATGCAATACTATTTACTGTACGAGTCTTTCACTTACCTCTGTCTTGAATTCTCTTAGAAACAATTCTGGTTAATTCTGTTGCCATAGTGATATCTTGGTCTTGACCATGTGTTGGGGTTGAGGTTGGGAAATAATACTCAACAAAGAATGTTCTGAATGTATAATAATAATCCCAGTAGTTAAATTGGGCATTACCTAGAAAACCCTACATATTAATGTCAAGATCATTACAAATTTCCCTGTTTAAAAAATGATCATATTGATGGTGGATGGATAACATTCCAACAAGTAGATCAGTGAGTGACATCCACTCAGAATTACTTACTTTAGAGACCACTGCAAATAGTTTGAAAACAATTCTTTCACAATATTTTGGATGAATGTTTAGAAGGTGTTTACCATGGTTGACAGTGTTCATAGCTAGACATCGCATGCTTAGTATGAAAAAATTGACAACTTACCTGACCAACCTATCATGTGACTTTTCCCTAATCAACTCACTTGCACTTACCCAGGTTTAATAGTTTCATTTGCAATCCCCAGACTATCCACCATAACACGCGCTGAATCAACTCTGCCCAAAGCTGTAAGTTGCTCAGGACCAAGGGTTTCAGTGAAGACATCAGGATCTACCCTTGGTGGTTTCCTGTCCAATGATGTTGATGTAGATGATTCACTTGACATATGGACACTGTCTTGACCTTCATAAGAAAAAAATAACAAATTTACCTTGTGTCAATTCATAAGGGGTTGTTACAATGTTTATGTACTTAACATGGAAAATATCACAATTTAGGCCACTGATAAGGCAAAGCTTTTGCTGAGTCACATAGAGTTCTAAAGCTGTTACGTCATGTTACCATGGGAGCAGAATTTTCTGTTCTAAACAAACGTGCTCAGAGCCAAAATGGCATCACTTTCAATCGCTGCACTGATATCTTTCTTCGCTGAAGAAAAGAAGTCAATCGAACGAGGAGAAAATCATTACAGATCTGAACACATTGAGTCATATTCTTACCATCAAGGTGTTTTACGCCGTGAGGTTCAAGCAAGTATGAAGAAAAAGGTCTATCGAGTCACGGTGAGTTTAGAGCCACCAATCGCATTAAGAAGCCTAAGGAATATTTTTAAATATCTTTTAAGTACCTTCTTGTTATCTACTCCCCCAATTTAGAAATATATATTTTCGATCTTGTCGATTTCCCTCATCAAAAAAGCCAGGCTGAGGCTTAAATCGTACAGATTATGATTCATATGAAATAGTGTTACTAAGACATTTATGAGTTCACCTTGTTTGAACTTTTATCTTAATTACCACTTAGATTTACCTGGATGACCACTTCAACATAAAATCCATGGAGTGTGAATGCCCAAAGGGAAAATTCAAATGCAGTCACGCGGCTGCTCTTTTTATAAACGGGATTCACAACTTAAGCCGCACGGATATTGAATGTCAGTGGAGGAAAAAGAAGTCTAATACCTCCCTGTCTTTACAGACGGTCGAAGAACTGTTCCCTCTGCCAAAGAATTATGTGGCGATTACTCGATCTCCCAACACAGAAGATCGTCAGGCACTATATGGAAGCTTAAAGGCATATGGGAGGTTCACTGGTCTTTGCAGGCTCATGAGCCCAGAGCCTGCTCCCCAAGCCAAATTGCCTGTGCCAACAATTGAGCAAATCATCTACTCAGAGGAGTTTATCCAAACAAGAGGTGCACAGCAACAATTGGACTGTTTGGTTCGGAAAGCCAAACTCACAGAAGCAGATATCCTGTTAGTCAGTCAGATAACTGTGGGCCAACGAGACAACCCAGCCTGGCATCTTGCAAGAAGGGGACGGCTTACAGCAAGCAATTTTGGATTCGTTCTGCATGCCAAATGAGTGACCCCTTCACTTCTCAAACGGCTCCTTAGAGAGTATGACATATCAAGAGTTAAGGGAGTACAATGGGGGGTAAACAACGGGGCAGAAGCGATTAAGGCATTTACCAATTTAACTGCAAAAACTGTACAGGAAACTGGGTTATGGCTGGATGGCTCTGGGATTCTTGGTGCTTCCCCAGATGGAATTGTGGATGAAGACTCTGTTTTGGAGGTCAAGTGTCCCTACACCGAAACCNGGCTTTGCTTCTTCTGCAGGGAAAAGTTTGTCTTGGTTCCTCTTGAAAATCTCAGGACCATTACTTTTTTTTCCTTCTCTGAAATGGCAACTACAGACTCTGGAATGTTTTCCTGGCTCTCTGTCTTCTCTCCTATAGCAAAAAGGATAATTTTAGCTTTATAATTCTTTCTGATTACTGTGCTATTAGCGGAGGATTTTTATCTCGCAGCTTCTATCTGATAAAAATCTCTAATTAAGAAGACAGTTCTCTATCTGCCTGTTTTAACACTGCAGGGTGACCATTAAGTATCAACAACCACACCAAAAGCTCTCACAACTGATTTCCATCATTGAGTCAAATGTTCGCTTGTGGCTTCTAGGGAACCGATTTTGAAGTTGGAGTACAAGAAAAAGGAGTCTAAAAATTGGTAAGATTTATATAAGCTTAAACAGTTTCATAACAAAGATGGCGACTCCACAACCGCAATAAATTGCGTAAGCATACTTTTCTCCTGGACAGAAAAAGTATTGAAATGAAACTCTTACTAACCTCAGTAGGTGAATCCATCTTCTGTATTCCTTCAGCTTTTTTTCCTTGCTAGGGAATCCGAAGAAGCTACACGTGTGACTTTCCGAGTGATGGTTGCAATCAGGCGCAAAGCAGTGCACCATTTTCATCGTTTCGATTGCCTTTGTTTCTCAGTTTTAGATTTCTATGACCTACAGCGTTAATAACAATGTAACTGAACCTTATTCTAAGCTTCTTTGAACCGTTCCAAGCGATGATTACACACTTGACCTGAGCAACGCATAGGTTATCAGCAGGACGCGCTCGATTGTTTAGAACAGAAATTTTAGCCCCATGGCAACGTGATGTCACACTTTAGGACTCTATTGTTTATTGTCATTTCATTTGATTTGTAATTTTATTCATGTCCACACATAATCGGAATTAATTTAGCAAGGTAAGACTAGAGTTGGACCAATAATTGAGTTTGGCCAGCATTGGACCTTTTCATAAACTTATTTTGCTTCCTGTATCTCTAATCCCCTGGCTCTGGTTGTTCAAAGAGCGGATAATGCTATCCAACAGATTAATCGGTATCCAGCGGATGAGTGTTAACAAAACATACTGCGCTATCCAGCGGATACAGATTTTATCCAGTGTATAGCATTATCCATCCTTCTAACAACCAGGGCCTGATCTATATCTTAGAGGAAGATCATCGTTAATGGTTGTACCATACTGAGCCCAGAGACCTACCCCTAGAGTCTTGATTTGTGTCATCAGCACTGTTCTGCTTTAGATCAAGGTAACCCATACGAGACTTGTTAGTAAGGTCATCGTTTCCTTCAGGGTTTTGTTTACCATTCACTTCCTTGCCAACCAATGTACTTATGTCTCTAGATGCTGTCTTTGGAGATCTTTTCTTGATTCTTGTTTTGGCTAATGCCTTTTCAAAATGACATTAATGTTAAGTACGTACTAGAAATAATTATAATAAAGCATACTTTAGTTATTGTAAAAAGTTATGCAAGTAGCCTAGAAATGAATTCAATAAATAAAGTAAATTTGACTATCCTTCATTAAAAAACTCTGATTTCAACATCCTTGACATCGGAAATAACAAAATAGAAAAATAGTGATAAGCTTGGTTTACATTAGTGACATATTATATTCACAATCATGTACACATAACCCCAACCAGGTCAAAACTGATGAAGTAGTGAAATGCGTCCATTACTGGAAAAGCTCTCAGACTGATTAAAAGATTATCTTAGAATGCTGGGATCCATGAAATAAATTGAGCCAGACAACATTTATGTACACAAGACTTAACATTCGTGAACACAATAAGACAAAGTTAATAGTAAGAATCATAAAGCTGCATCATAATCACATGAAAAATCACATCATTTTCTTACAATTATGATTCTTCATGAACATCAGTGGGAAGTATGCCTAAATGTTTGATATGCTATGAGTAGTGCTGGTACAAAATTTTGATTAGAATAAAAATGTAAAATGTGAAAAAGATGAAAAAGATGGTATAGCATAAATTATCTCGTATAATTATTAGGAGAAAAATAAAGAATTACAGTGATGTTCTTAAAATTAACACTAAAAACATTTCCCTTGACATCAAAACATCAATTTATTGTCACCATACAGCTGTTCATAGAATTTAACAGTCCCATGATGCAGAGTGTTCAATGGTCTTGGCAAATTGCACCGACAGTAGTCAGGGTATAACAAATAAAAAAAATTCCACTTAGGTCTAATTCACTGAAGATTAATGTTATTTTAGAACTTCAACTTGTACCTTGTACCTTTTCAAATTGATCTTCCTGCAAAGGATTTTGCAGACTTTTGTCATCATCATCATAGACTTCATCAGTGACAACTGTACTATCTGAATCTGTATCTGACTGTACTATCTGAAAAATGTTGAAAAAAAAAAACAGCAATACTACCACCACCTTCTCTTATTTATGTTGATCTCTTGAACAATTCTTCAAACCTAGTATTTGGGTATTTGACCTCACCATTTAGTTAATGAAACTCTGTGAATGATTCTTTTTCTGTGACTTCATCACATTCTTATATACTCTCCATGAAATTCCTTGTTCAGGTCAATAGGTGTATGACTCTGTTCCAATTTAACATAGTAAAAAGAACCCTGAAAGCAGCAATATTGATACCTCACCCCTTACAAGCTATGTAATCTACATGTGCCTCTGAACTGTATGTAAAAGTACTTTATGGACAGACAAACTCACAAACTCAAAGCCTAAAGCAAGAATAGCATTCTTGGAGAGATTTAAAGTGAAACTGTATGGCACTGCATGAGAAGTCAAAGATATATATACATATTCTTTTAAGGCCAACATTCCAAAAAAAGCCATATCAATCCTTCTCTCCTTCTCAACTTCACAACTTAATCTGCTGTTTGAATGACTGTGTTAGTAACCTACTTACTTCCTGGGTCACAAAGGCCACTGAATAGTGTAATCACAGATAATTTGTCAAGAATGATAGAATGTTAGTAATATAAAGCCTGTAACTCACTGGGGTAGTGTAAAAAAGATCTTTCAACAGTGTGTCATCATGTAGGGGATCCCCTGGCTCACTAACTATGCTACTCTCAGGGGTAGAGTTGGGTGAATCATCCAGATAAAGCTTTTCATCTTCACCAAGTAGCAAGTCCACAGCTTTGTTGTTATGTAAAAATACTGACTCAATTACAGAATCTTCTTCTCCTTCAGACTTGACAAGTTCATACTTGATTTCATCAGAAGTAAGAATTGCCTTGAGGAGTTTGCCAGATGGTGTATTCCTAAACAAGCCAAGTTTTAAATATAAGCTAAGAACAGAATTGTCCAAGTTTACCAGAACTATAAGACAATGTTTATTAATGAATGAGGTCAGAAGTTCCCTTGCAGTGTCTGAGCAGTTCGGGGCACTTTTGTAGCAGCTGTTTTCAGGCATTTCCCTACCCCACCCCTCCCCTTTTATCTTTCCAAAGAGGTTCCTGGCATGGGGAATAACCAGCCATTGGGGCAGTATTCTATCTCAGGGCCAGCTTGCTACTGAGGAAGCACCTGGACACCCAAGGCACCCATCTTCCATAAAGCAAGCCTTAAGCTGTGCAGCAGTTTTGAGAGATATAACCATAAATGTCTCTAAGTAATTGTTGTCTAAAGAATAGAAACCTTTTCTTGGGTAATGTTAAATGTGTCATGCCCCCTTTCTTAATTACTGCATGTAAAATGGAACATGTATCCTCTGCTTTGTAACAGAACAGTACAAGGGCAACTGAGCTTTAACCTTTGCTCACTGACAGTGAGTTAAGTCAGGGCTAGAAATTAACGGTAACCCATTAACCAATGGTTAGTAATTTTCAACATTTGGTTACTAAAAATGTGTCCAACTAACCCGACATGTTTACTAAAATTTTCTGACATATTTAAACATTGGAAGACCTCAGGACAAAGAGCACGTAGACCCAACTCTCAGAGGAATACTTAGAATACTCAAGTTGTTTAATCAACTTAAACTCTTATTAGAGAATGTGCTGTAGATGTACTGTTCTTGACTATTCATGGTAAATGAGGGAAATAAAATAGGTGCATAATTGTCAATGTTTTTAAGGTCACCATGCAATTTCAGCTACTTTTTAATTTGTCCTAGTTGTTATTATCAAAATGTTCAATATTTGAGATATTGTAACTTGTGAACCTGGATACCATACTTTATAATTTGGTTAGTAAAAAAGATGTCTATTAACCCGAAGGGTTAGTGATCCAAAAATTACATTCGAGCCCTGGTTAAGTTCTCTCTAAAAGTGTCCACGTACCAGTAGTTACCCTGAACCTATCTACTTTTAAATATTGTGTAGAGCATGTGGATAAATCTCACATGAAAATCTAAGATTCAACTTGTTTGATCTATGATTCTTTGAATGTTAACTGCATTTTATACACGACTAGGCTGCTATAAATATTTGACCATGCTAAAGTTCTTGATCACTACAATAGTTATATATTCTTGATTTTCCACAGCAGACATGCACATTTTTATCTTATGATTGCAAAAAAGAAATTGGTGTCAAGTTAAATATCAATTGCTGTTATAATTCAACAGGATATGTTATAATATAGATTTATCTGAATGACATTAGATATCAACGCAGTGTTATGAACAAACCTGTCAACAACAAAACTTGTTCCTCCAGCTTCATTTTCATCATTGGCCTCATCTGCCGACATTACCATAGCCTCCCTCAGCTTCTCTCCCCGTTGAAGCAATGCATCAATCAGATCAGAAGATTCATTTTCCCCTCCATGGGCAATGTGAAGTGGTTGACTTGATGTGGTTGGCTCTTCAGATCTCACTGTACTTCCAAGATCGTCTAAAGAGACATTTTCCATAAAATCTATTATTTTGACAAAAAATATTCACAGAGGCTCAAAATCGAGTTTAGATTTCTGGTTTTCAGCAGATGAGAGCACATATGAATTTTTTCACTACTGATTTTCATTAATCCAGAAATGATTTATGGACAAAAATTAAGCTCATGAAAGGACAAATCACCATTTTGTTGCCATTTAAACATAAAAATATGCAAATTATTGTAATTGAGGGCAACCAAAGGGAAAAAATATTTTTATGGTGACCATTTTTCAATTGGAGCCCTATATTGGACCAAGTCTGTACAGTCATCAGTTTACAGTTGAACAGGATTGTTTATTCAGAGTAAGGATATAAACACACAAGATACTGTGGAACTGATACACACTATCAAGAGTGACTTTTCCAATAAAAACACCCATGTGTCTTTTCTTCTAGATTAGAAATGGTCGATAGCTTTTAAAAGCCAGGGGCCATAGGCCCATATGCCTGTTTTGTCTTCCAAATCTCTGCTTGTCAGTAAAAAATCATTTATTTTCTGTTCAACATTCTTACCAGATCCTTTCTGGTCTGTTCTTGGCGATGAAATTAGTGAGTGCTCAGCAGTGTATTCAAGTCTATCTGGTGAAGTGGGAGCAAATTTCACACCCTAAAAATATATATACTAGGCGTTGACAATAAATTTAATCTTTGGTTTAACTACATTTTTGCAAACGATACTCAACATGATCAAACACACTGACATAAATGTGACCCCTCAAATGGTTTCTCCTGCCAATGCTTCACTAAAATTTGCCTATGCACACCATTTTGTTACTTGTTATGATCCTCAAGTCAAACCATAATTTATTTCATGTAAATGTGAGCAGGTTCCTTTAGGGGAACACAGAATCCACTAAATTTGCCTAAGTCCTGACATGTGGCTTTTTAAGCACAATCACTAGTTGCACCCAATGAGCAGCTGGGCAGCACAGCTTCAAAACCCATTCAAGTCTTCATTTTCCATGCCTCTTTTTTAGTGTGTCATCTGCTACCACCTTTCCCCTAAATTTACAAACACTTTTACTAATGACCAATTCTGAGAACACCTTCGTGACGTGGAAAGGAATGACAAGGACATATCGAAACCAGTCACTAGACATTTTAATTTACCTAATCATTCCAAGCAACATATGGCAATCTGCAGTCTTTCCTTACACTTACTAGGTAGCACGGAAAGCCGTAAAACTCTTGAACAAAAGCTCATCTTTCAAACCGGCAGTCTAAATCCAACAGGGATCATCGAATGCTTTTCATTCCACTAATTTATTCGTGTTTTTCTCGTTGCCATGTTCCCACCAATAACGTAGCTCCATTTTCTGCCTTTAAAAGCACATACAACCCACAATTCCTCTATTCACTCCGACGAAGGGCTAACGCTCGAAACGTCAGCTTTTGTAATCGTTACGGTGGCCAATTTACCAATTCAACTTTGTTGATATAATTATCCAAATTACTTTTACTAATGACCTTAGAAGGGACTGCAGGTGATATAAAGAGATCCATGTCCTCTGTCCTCTGTCTTGGATGAGGGATTGGTTCAGTTGGGTTTAAGGAAGATGGGGGAGGAGTTGGCCTAGCATCACTCTCATCAAAGGCCTGTCTTTGTGGGTCTATTTCCATGTCTATAGTGGGTACCAAAGATGATGACAACTGGCTGTATGCTGCTGAAAATTTCCATACGAGAAATACTTTCATGTTAATATTAAATACATTGAAGCTTACATGCAAAAATTGTATCTCTGCTACTCTGGTTAGAACAAACTCTCTTAGGGTTTAATTATCAGTGGTATTTAATATTGTCATAAGAATAGATTGGTGAATGAGAAAAGTGTTCTAGAACAAACATGTACACTACCATAAGTTTCTACTTTTCAAAATCATTTGAATATTCATATTCTGTTGGAAGTTGATGTATTTAATATCCCAACTACACTCAATGTTATCACTGAGATGTCTCACTATTGGTCCCTCAGAAGTTAAACATGTTTGTGACATTGAAGTAAAGTGTTCTTTTTGAGTTTGACTGGGAAAAGAAAATCCCAACCCACATATCTCCACCCTGCATCTTCTGGTGGAGCTCCAATCCAGTCCATAGGTAGTTGGCCCTATGTCACCAAGAACTTGTCTGTTTTCCTTCCTGGTTACACTTCATCTTGGTGCCATTGGGGCCAAACACCACTTAAACCCACTGTTACTCTGCGTTGACTCTAACTTCGACCAGAATGATGCACTTGTCTCTAATTAATAACAAAGGATTCAAACAGAATATGATACTATATTTAAGCTGTCTCTTGCCTGATATTGACTCGAATCTCAGAGTAATGTACAAAAGAGCCAGCTTTTCTCCAGGTAAAGTTGTAGACATAACATCAAAGAAGCTAGAAAAAGAAGATACCACCAATTAATTTGCGTGGCAAAGGTGAGCAATAGAACTGTTGACATGTGAAAGTTGCTCAGCAGTAAGAATATAACAACTTTTAACAAAAAAATAATACCATACTTCGAGTGTGTGTGATGTGTACCACTGAGTTTTCATGTCTTTTCCCAGTTTGAGACATCTCGATTGAACTACTGCCTTTAGCAAATATAATTATCAGTCACAAGACATTATGTATTCTTTAAATGGTGCATTTTACTGCCCACTAAAACAAATGACTGCCAAAGAAGTATAAAGATGACATGATAAAACACAAGTAGTGGGTAATTTGTAGGCATTAAATGACTACTTCATCAAAGTGAATGTTGGGTCCAATGATCATTGTAAAACCAGTGACTAATATCTTGGCTGAAGCACTTAAAAATATTGTCATGTTTTGATACATACCCCTGAATGGGAGTGCTTGCTGAGAGTTTTGAGACATCACCCAGTCTCACGTGGCCAAATACTATCAGTGATGGACCATGAACAACCTCAAATATCAGGGCTCCCATATCTAAATAAACATATCTACAAAGTTAATACCAACCACATCAAATAACTGAAAACATACTGATGAATTTGTAATTCACTGGGTATTGGTAGTCCCAATAATTTTTTTCAAGTAAATGATGAGTACCAGCACCTCTCTTATCAAAATTTGCCCACCCCAACTCTCATGTCAAATGTGATGGAATAATAAACAAACCTACATGGACTTTCAAATTGTACTTTTTCCCTAGTTTATCATTTTGAAATGAATCATATTCAGTATACAAGTAGTGGTAGTCCCACTAGGGGTCCACCAGCTCAACAATGTAGCAGAAAAAAAAAACAATAATTAAGTAATACATTTTACAGTATGAATCATTTACCATTTAAGTATGCACTGAACTGTTTTGGACCACTGCATACTGCAAATCTTACACATGTCAGCCATGTGTCAGCTCTCGTCTGTTCATCTGCCTTGTCATCTAAAGGTCTGTATAAATTTGAGCATTTTAAATAAAAATGTAAGAAATTTGTTGATTTGAATTCCAATTAATGTTGGTAGAGTAGCAGATCCACAAAATCAGTAGGAGAGGGACTGTACTGATGGTGATATACCATATTTACCAGACATGATACACACCCATGTATAATATGCACCCTGATTTTTTACTAAATTTTTCATAAAAAAAAGTATTCACAGCAAAAACATGTTAACTCTTCCTACAATATTTATTGAGATAACAATACTTACACTAGACAAACTTCAAAATTACTTATATACTGGTAACTAACTAATTACAAAAAGGTTGAAAACGATAACAAACAGCCTTGCAATAAAAGAGTTTCTAAGCAAAAAAACCCTTTGAAATCAGACTTTGAGTCTGACTTAAAAAGTTGGTCAAAATCAAGTTTGCCATTATTTATATCATCCTCAGTCGAATTGTAAACCATATCGTCTATGGAACCATCTAAATTGTTCGTAATGCCGCATTTCAAAAAAGAATTAATGATCATTGCTGCAGGAATATCACTTCACGCTTTTGCAATCCACAAACAAATCAGTTCCTCTGATGGCTTCCTTGCACAACCAGTTGGCGTAATTTCGTGGGTTCTGTCAGCCATCCAATCCATCCACTGTTTTTTGACTTGATCCTTACTACAGAAGTGAGGTTAAACCTCCAGGAATTATGGCAAGGTAGGTGTTTTCTAGTTTGAGTGACGCTTTCACTGTATTGGTCAAGAGGGCCTCGAATGTGTCATAACCAAGCAGGCTACATCTTCTTGCCAGACCTTCCATTCACGAATACCATGCTTTCGGAATCCAGATTTTCATTTAGTTGGATTCCATCCAGCTGACGCTACAACTCTGTGCTTATTGCTGATCTTTGGGAGGGTTTTCCTTTTGAAGATGACCATTGGTTTTATTTTCAAACCATCTCCACAACAGGTCAGTACCACCGTAACATGATTCTTTTTGTTTCCTTTCGTGCATATTTTTATGGTTTTCTCACCTGTGTTGTTGATCATACAATTCTGTGGCATGTCAAACGTTAGCAGAGTTTCATCCATGTTAGCAATCAGGTGCAGAGAGTAACTGTGTTCTTTGTGGCAATTGATGATGAAGCTGTATGATCTTCTCATAATCATTGGGAGGTCGTTGCGCCAAAGAGGTTTTCGCTGAAGTGAAAGGCCATTCCTCTTCATAAATTGCTGGCACCAGTGATTGCCAGCTTTAAACGCTCCGACAGGAATGTTCTGTCTCTCATCTTTGGTGAGCTCAAGTGGTTTTATTCAAACAGACAAAGGAAGGATAGCTAAGCCATTCTTTCTCTTTGTTGTAATCCATACCAACAGATGGGTCTCCAACTCCAGCCACACAGCTTTCCTTCCACAGTTGGCATGTTTCAGCCAAGGCAACTTCTCTTAATCCTCTTTACTTCTTTCGCCACAACTTGATGTTGCTTTCTGACACACCAAATCCACATTCGGCAGCCCGGTTTCCACTATCTGCTGACAATTTCCAGTGAGATTGCTTTGCAAGTTGTGAGAACATCATTTCGATTTCATTTAAGAGAATAATAATTATATAGGAAATAGCTTAACCCCCTGATCCGGAGAACTAAGAAGTTTCAAGTTAGCAATGTTCACCTTTTTTTCTGTCATATTTTAAGTAAGTAAAGGACAAAATTAACAGCCCACCTTAACAGTACACCATCACCATCCTCTCCCCACCATCTTAGTCGTACTTGGACATCTGTAGGATACTTTTGAATAATCCAGTGAATTTTTGGCACAGATACTCTTAAAAAACACCTTAGGTGACCATCTACAGCAGGAGGAAGACTGGTTACCACTGGTATCCTATCATGATCAGACACTGTGCTTGTAGAGGTACCAGAAACTACTGATGAAACCAGAGTAAAATGATTGATAAGAGTTATCATAGAAATGAGTAAGACAAGAGGCTATAGTAACTTACTTGTCTATTATTTCTTCTTGGCTTTTTTCACCTTAGCTCAATTCTCCCCTGTAGAACCAATCACGGTAGACAGGCCAAAGTGACAAACCACATGGTGGGTAGATAACCCAAGCCATCCCTCTTGACTAACAAGAGGAGCACGGTCAATAATAGACTTTATTACACGATTCAGGAAGTCAGAGGGTCAATAACTAAAATCAACCAATCAAAATGCTCTATTGCTGGTCAATATTTTCTCATTATTGGACTGAGCACTGTCCTGAATGATACTGCACTTGTGTCCCTTTGAACTTCAGTCGTGTAATAAATCTCTTATTAACCAAGCTTGCTCAGGACCGTACTGGAAGAATATCAGCCCTCAGTCTTTTTTGTACGGACCTCGCTGCACTCAGTCCGTACTGTCAAGACCTCGGGCCGATATTCTCCCAGTATGGCTCTAGCACTTATATATGTAGTTATATATGTTTACTACACTGAAGGGGCTATCCTGTATAAATATAGATGTCTGTCTGTCTGTCTGATACACAATTGCCATTTATTCCCATGTATCTGTTCATCCCTCATACGCATATTACAAATTCACATAATGTGGATTAAATGGCTGCTGTTAAGAGATAACTAGGGTACCTGGGACAAACTTTAGTGGCCACTGACGATGTGGTGAGGTAGCCATGGTAAAGAATTACACAAAACTTATGTATGGGAGGACGTTCCTCAGTACCAGTAACACTGATATGTTGCAACTGAACATTGACATTTTATTTAGTTTTTATTTTTTTCTCTTGTTTGTATGTATTCATGCCTATATCTTGGTGATTTTTAAGTCACATGATTTATGCTCCCTGATGGTTGAATAATGTCAAAAATAAATGGTTGTGTTGCAGAAAAGAGCCTTTGGCTTAAGGTTGGAGCGCTTTTACACGAAAGATATGTACACAACAGCACATAAGCATGTACATACACTCACGTCATTATTTACAAGTTTTGAAGACAGATGACAGGTAGCATAGCAATGACACAGTTGCTTCGGCGAAGTTTTCCGCTACAGATCTGTCATTATCATAATCATCGTTTGGTATACCACCAAATTAAACTCGCATTTCAATAACAAAATATCAAAATTTCGCCATATTTCCATTGTACGTAGTCAAGTAACAACGCCAGCTTTACTTTCAATGTAGAGACCTACCAGAGCGTTTCCCTTTCCTAGTTGAGTTGGAGCTCGTCTTCGTCTTCTTTCCAGCCTTTCTCTTATAGTTTACCATCTCAAGTTATTATCATAACTTTTCTTTCATCCGTTGGTGTAGGTAATCATGTTGAATAGTAAGCGAGTGGTGGAATCAAGAAACATTTAACCAAAGCAATCCGAAGTTCGATTTTTCCCGCCATGTTTGTTACCCAAGATTCATGGTGATGAAGTTTCTGTTCAAATAAACAACATGAATTGTCAACCGACTAGGCCTACTTCTGGAGGTGGCCGCTTTACCGGTAATAGGACTCTCCCTTCAGCTAAGGACAACTTTGAAAAAAAATCCCACCGAGCTAACTTAGGTAAGTGTTCTTTAATTTAGGCTGATAGTTTCGAAAGAAACTGTTTGGGGCTGCGTCGGTGGGAGTAACGAAATAATTTGGATATATCAACAAAGTTGAAATGGTAAATTGGCCACCGTAACGATTACAAAAGCTGACGTTTCGAGCGTTAGCCCTTCGTCGGAGCGAAAGACGAAGGGCTAATGCTCGAAACGTCAGCTTTTGTAATCGTTACGGTGGCCAATTTACCATTTCAACTTTGTTGATATATCCAAATTAGTTCTTTAATTTATATCGCAGTCCCTGAATATCAGTTTTTTGCATCTTCTTTAGTTCAAAACAATTTCATTCTCAGGTTTATCCAAAACTTCGAGGGTCAGCTTCCTGAGTTTTGAGCCCTCAGAGAAGAAAGACCGTCATGTCTTTGATAAATCCAACCACGAAGACCATCTACTCATAAAGTAGTTTTCTTCTGAGGTAAAAAGAACCATCTGTGCAGTGAATTTAGATATCATGAGCCAGTAAAGAAATGATAATCACAACTCCCCTGGCACACTTCAGGTTTTTTTTTTTTTTTTCTATGCGTGGTCGGGGGAGGGCACTGATGTGTTGTTGTTGACTTTTCTTGCCTTATTTAGTCTAAACTGTACCGTGTCCTTCTCCTTCCTTTCTTTTGCCAACATATATACTGTACTTCCTGGTTATTTTCACAACTTCCTGTATATTTCCGTATCGTATTTGATAAGTACCCAGTTTGTACCCAAACTGACGAGGTCGTAGACGAAACTAGTTTTGAAGTTTTCGCAGTAGTGTGTTGAAAGTAGAAGTTAGTTGGAGTTTTTCACTTACATGGTTAATATGGTCTTCTCGTCATGTACAAAAAATGGAATAACTTCGGGGAGCAGAAATCGTCACTCCACCGATGAGCTCAACAGACAGAAAAATAACTCTACGAAATACACACTGAAGCTAAACACAGAGTCCACGGCTTTTGGTTTCGAGCCAAAGCTGAAAAGCATAAATTGGAATGAATTTTAACTGTGGTACTTGCCTCGCAAGCTATGAAAACTTCACCGAAGTCACCCAGTCTGTATTCGAGGGATGTTCCCCTTCCCGCTAAAAGACAAACAAACAAACAAATTTCGCTGCTTAATAAATCCAAAGGGTTCAATACGCACAGGATCTGGCTATCATCCGGGGATTCGAAGGAAAAAGTAGAGCCTGATATCGAAGCACACGGTCTAAAAATGAATTTGAGTTCGCTGAGGCTTCAAGATCTCCATAAAATCTTTAATGTTCGCAACGGGATGCTAGGTTTTCCTTATTCGACTGTCATCAAGAGTGCGACAGAAACAATGTACTGCAATGGTCTTGAGGTTAGGTTTGTACAAACATAAACCAGTCTCATAAACGACAAAGGAGACCACTGTAATAACGTATGTCAAATCTTATAAGAATAACGAGATTAACAAAGGGACGAAAGTTTGAAAATGTAACGCCTGAGAATACCAATCTAGTTTACACCCAAAACGATAGACACGGTGAATCATAAAAGCAATGGAAAGTCTACTGCTAGTAATATGCAAATATCTGTCAATTTTTCGAAGGTTACATCCGATTTCGGATGCTTGCTAGAAAACTCAAGAAAGTCTTACTCACTGACTACATGAAGGTCAAACACTTTTTCCTTCATTTGTTAATCGATGAACAGACCTGATACTAGCGGAGCAAGGTTCGTCTGAAAAGACAGGGAAAAGTATATTCGACTCGTAAAATAGTCAGACTGAATCAGTCTAATACCAAGTTCACACCAAAGCTTTAACACATTTTAAAGCTGTTTCAGGCAAACACGGTTTAAAATTGTTTTCTTCGTCAGAGCTGCTTAGACCAATGTTTGTCGACTTCCAATTTAGCACATTGAAAATACAAGCTAGTGACTACTTTAACCCCATGGAAAATTCAGTTTTTCATTTCGGTTTCTGCTTTTCATTCATTTAAACGCGGTTTAACTAAACACATTTTGCTGGCGTGGAAGGGGTATAAGATTCTCGCGGGGTATATAACAAACAAGAAGTGCAGTGGAATACAACTGAAAAAAACTCGGCAGTACAATTGAAAGGCTTTTCTCCTGAACGAAAAAGTACTTTGCAGGGAAGATGACCGCGATTGACACTGATTTTTTCGATAGCAATTAAAAAGCTTAAATCCGCGTAGTGTTAATAGAAATTCAGGTCGAAAAATCTAAACGAGCTTATCAAAAGTATCAATTTCAAAATATGCGTAGTTACAATTAGGACAACGCGTGTTTCTATGGTCATGCGCAGTAAAATGGTATTCATCATACAGGGTAGCAAAGGGGAGTACTGATTCCGTTTCACGCAGGAATGTTACAAAATTCGCGCATCACGTACATCGAAGAGAAAACTTCAAATTTCTCTTGTTTCGTGCGATGTTTCTGGGAAATCTCGAGGTTTTCACGAAATGAAGACGAGATTCAAGGGTCATCACCTACATCTCAGGAGGCGAATCACGCCTCATGCTGGTTCATAAATTCACGAATCACGCTCGCCCTTCTGTAAAATTCACGAATCATGTATTAAATTTGGCCTTAATCACACATCACGTATAAACCCTTTGCCACCTTCACTGTGTATGTTACTGATTAAACAGTGGTATGTACATAAAATTGAGTAAAAGAATGTTCGTAGCCCATGCTTGGATGACTTATTCCCAATCGTCATCTGAGCTACTGTCAATTCTTAGTCTCTTCCTGGAGTTTCCTTGACAATTTTTCTTGTAAGGAGAGGTATTTCGCTTGTTCTTTCCTCCATTCTGCTCGTCCTCTGAATTGCTGGCATCACTATCAACCACTCCCTGAAGGCGGCTGAATAGTTTAGGGCTTGGGTCTGAGTTTGAGATGGTACTGTGAGTTGGCTTGCGGTCTGATATAATACGGCTACTTCTGGTTGGCCGCCGTCCACTATCTAAAGTAATAAATGATAAACTACTTTACCAATTGAACTGATCTTTAAAAGAAAATAAACTTGTTTAATTTCTTACCTAACTCAGGAGGCAACTACCGAGGAAGCGTGTCAAAAGCAATCTTTTTCGGAATTTGGCTACAAATTAAGATGCCAGCACCTTCTCCATCTCTATAGACTTTATTATTATTACCGCTCTGCAAGTCGAGCCCTGTTTTAGCTTAGCGAAATATTCATACAAACATATATATATATATGTATAAAGATGTATATTTCTGTTCATCTTGTGAAAACTCGGACACTGTCTGCTCTGAGGAAAAGCAAGTAACATTATCAAGGGTCTAAATAAATTCCTCCTGAATGAAATTCTAATGCATTTAAAGGTAAATTTGTAAGGAAAGTAGACTTGTTACGGTGTCACATCTGCCATGACACCTGCACTTAAGCATGGAGAAATTGCTCCTCAAGTTTCCTTGTAAAGGTCCTACAGGTCACTGTTTTCTCACCCGTGGAGATGATATTGCTACAATCAAGCTCAGCTACTTCATCTGCTTCCTCCTTGGCCTGCTTAAACTCCTTACACATGACGAGCGTTATTCTCCCTGAATAACAAAGAGAAATCGTAACACACACCATCAAATCTTCACCATCCAAAGTATTAACTGCTATCATTCAAACATTTATTGAATGAAGACAAGGACAATTAATAAACAAACTTGCATTTGGCAGAGGACTCAGCAGTGAAAACCATAGTTAGTAGAGGGGGACCCTCTACTAACTATGTGAAAACCAAGCATTCTGAACTTTGATCATTAAAAAAACTAAATATGTCACCAAATCAAGTATTATCAATGAAATTTTACCTTGAAACCCAGTATCCTTTCGTAGCACTCTTTCTAAAATTTTCTCCTTCTGTGACATGGAATTACATTCAGCAAACAGTTTAACATAGTTTTTACGCAGTCCACAGGTTTGGACATAACGTTTAAAGTTTTTCAGTCTTACACTGTCTGCAGAAGGTGGTGATGACTTTTTCTTCTTTTCGTATGAGCTCACCCCCTGCAAAGCAAAACAATGACATTTGTTGATTTAAATCTTTAGACAAGCATTGAAAAGCAGCCAGAATAATCCAACTTGTCTTGCCAGCCAATTCAGAGTAACCCCATGTTGTTGGCCACAAAATCAACATAGCCCAGCAGAACATGGCAAAACTTTTGTTGCTTGTCATCCTGAGGCTACCCAGACAGACAAAGTAATTTCATGTGACAAAAATTTCATGAGACAAATGAAATTCAAAAATTTCATGAGACAAAAATACCAAAAGGGTTGGGTTTTTTTTCATGAAGGTTGTTTACCAAATGGGCATTTTACCCAAAATAGAAATCAATATTCCTATCAATTCATGGTAATTATGCATGTCACTGTCAAAATTGTAATAAAAAATATTCACTTGACAAATGTTTAACTATTAGTTCATGCTGAGATATTGAAGCATGAATGAAGTTTGCTGAGCACAAGAGAAGCATGAAAGTTGCTCTCAACTTTACCTCAAGCAACCAAAGCTTCTTGAGTTGGAACATTTTACATCAAGTTTTCAGTAACTATTTAGATCAAGTGAACACTTGCTCATTATGTGATCTTGGTTAAGTACTCTGCAAAGCAACATGGTAGTGGTACATTGTAGTAATACCCTCAAATTAAATGCAAGAACTCTACTCTTCTCTCTGAACAGCAATAATCATCTTTCAGTTACCTCCCACTTCCCTTTCAGTTTTCCCTTCCAAGAATCATCATAACTCACCTTCACTTTGCATTGGTCTGCTTTCGGACCATTTTTCTTTCCAGCTCCTTGTGTCCATTTATTTATCTCATCATCACTGTCATGGTTAGATTCCATAGATTCTTCATCTTCATCACTCTCCTCCAATATCTCTTTCGTTTTGGATATATTGCTGTTTCTTACTACCCCACTATCCTTACCAGTTTCATTGGATACCTTTGAATCCTGAAAAGTTTCCTCTAATACCTTTTTCCTTTTAAGTGTACTCTTATCTTGTCTCGTTTCCTCATTAATACCAAAGTGAACAATTTCTGAATCAATGTAATTGTCCTGGGATATTTTTCTCTTTTTAGATGAAGACCTCTTTGTTTCTTCCTTGTCCTTGCTTTTTATTCTATTCAGTGCAGACTTTCCATTTTGCTTCTGTGAACTTTTTCCACATGAAACAGTTTTTATTTGATCTATATTTTCCTTGTCCATCGCTTCTTTTCCAGATATGTTTGCTTCTCTTTGTTCTTCGCATTGTTCTTCTGACAAATCATTATTGTTATCAAGTATTTTGTCATCATGTATGTCACCTAAATTTGTAGGATACTCATTAGATGATCCCTTGTTGCTGTCTGTTCCATGCTTTCTTTTCTTTTGATTTGAACTGACGAATGAGGTGGATGCTGTGGCATCACTAGTGTCACTCTGGGAATCTTCCACACTTGACTCTGATGAACAACAAGATGAGCTAGGAATTAGGAATTACCCACACACGTTTATTAACTCAAGTCAAGCTACACTTCTTGTTCAAACAAAGTTCATAGAAGGTTTTCCCAATTTCTAATATGAAGGGCTGACAAAAAGTTTGAAAGAACAAATGTAGAAGGTAAATAAGGAGTATAGGTGGTAGGTAACCTGCTCATCATGATGTTGTTTCAGCAGATTACAAGCAGGACTACATGTAGGGCCTCTTCAGTTAAAGTGCACTTAAACCCCAAATTTTTTTTTTAGCTTAACGAAATAAGCATATTTTTTGGAGTATTTCTGTGCAAAAATTTTTTTATTTGCTCAAATCTTCAATTTTCTGTGTCTAGTCAAAATATGGAAAATCGGCCGCCATCTTGCCCCACGACCGAGTTTAAAGAGGAATGGCTCTAGCGRCTAATGTGACTTCAAATCGAGAACACGAAAGTCTGCATTTCACACATTTTCACTTATTTGGGAAGGTTGTAGTCGATATTGTCCAAAAATATGGTGACTAAGTGTGTTGTAGGAGGATGTACCAACGTGTGAAATTTGCAAGAGGGTATCGCGCTTCATACATTTCTCATACAACACACCTAGTCGGCATATTTCAGACAATATTGACGACAACCTTCCCAAACAAGTGAAAATGTGTGAAATGCAGACTTTCGTGTTGTTGATTTGACGTCACATTACCCCCTAGAGCCATTCCTCTTTAAACTCGGCCATGGGGCAAGATGGCGGCCAATTTTCTGTATTTTGACTGGGCACAGAAAATTAAAGATTTGAGCAAATTAAAAAATTTTTGCACAGAAATACTCCAAAAAATAAGCTTATTTCCTTAAGCGAAAAAAAAAATTGGGGGGTTTAGGTGCACTTTAAAATGGCATCCCACTATGTTTGCACCAACCATTGAATAAATGCCAAACATGGCACCCTTTACAATTCTTAACCCATCACTGATAAATTGTACAACTCAGTTCTTCTCAAAACTGAGAAATTGCCTTTTTAAAAATTTTCAAATGCTTCTTCAATAATCACACAGTTTTTTTTCCTAACCACTTACAACAAAAGAAGGTGAAAAAAGCCAGTTAAATATGGCAGACTAGCCAATGGTTTTGGCCTGCTACTGTCCCTTACCAGCAATTCTGAATGTTCAAACTAACCTATTCATGTGTGACTTAAAGTTGATAAACTGAGCTCAAATGTGTCCTGTCAAAATACTATGTACATGATCCTGAGAGCTTTTTTTTAAGTACTCTCCTTATCACCCCCTGAAATATCATTCTTCCTTTTAATCAAAAGGTATGCTAATAGGCCAATTCCAAGATCTCACCATTCAGTGATCTGATGCCAAATTACAGATCAAGAACAAGGCTAATTGCAAAGTCACTCTCATAGGTACTAAGAATAAAGGGCCATGGTGTTGAAAATGAGTAAAAATTTCTCAAATTCGATGTGGGTGTGAAAATTTTTTTTGTGAGAGAGAAACATTCAGCTTAGTAATGGCAGCGAAGGAAAGAAAAAGCAGAACTGTTCCATTTATGCATGAAAGCTGCAGCAATGAAGCATATTGAACTAGGTGCTTCTGCTGAAGACCGTAAAAAGCTTTTGGAGGAGTAATTACAAACAAGTGAGGGTGAATTTCCAGTAATGGGTGAGGTTATAGAAAGGTAAAAGGTCTTACAAAGGACTGTTGTTGAAGTCAATCTCTATCACCCACGATAGTTATTACCATGAATACCCTCACTTTGCATCATGATCACAGTATACAATCAACTGTTACTCCTTGATACAAACCTGACAATTGTTATCAATTAAAAATTACAGTCTCTCACAGCCAGCCTCCATCCAACCTCGTTATTTTAGCTCTTGCATTACCTTCTCCAGTATCAACCTCTTAACAAAGTATTATGTGTGGGTAGATTTATACCTTACTCACCCTTATCATCTCCATTTTTCTCTTGACTTTGGTTACTGTAAAATATATAGACGTCATGCACAGTCTTCTTAAAGACTTCCCTTTGATCATCGTCCAGTTTCTCCAGTCCCACGTGTTCAAGAAATTCCATACGCAACGATTTGACTGTTAGGCTCCTGTATCAAAAACAAAAAACAAAAAAAAAAAAAACAAGGACACTAACACTGAGCATTGGGCATTGAGCATTGGGCATTGAGCATTGGGCATTGAGCATTGGGCATTGGGCATTGGGCATTGAGCATTGAGTCATGTGTGCGTACTGCTCGGACGTGTGATTTTGTAGTCCTGTGTTATACTTGCTAAAACATCATTTGATTTTCAACTTACAATTATGCCAGATACAGTTAAATCATTAAGGAAAAGCAACAATGAATTGAAAAGGCAGCTTGAGGCTGCCAAATGCGATCTCAAAAAGCTCGAGAACAGGTTTCAAGCTCATGAAGCAGCCTGATGCGAGGATGACCAAAATGGCGGCGTCTCTTGCTTCCTGAATGCAGAAGTGGAAAAAAAACCGGGACTTCTTGGGCAGAGAATACGATGATCTCAGTAACTCAGATGCTGATACCAAGAAAGAACTTTGTAGAATTGGAGAAATTGATGTGAGATTGGAGGAGATGGCTGGTATTCTCGACGAAATGCAAGAATATAGTACTGTTACTCATTTAATGCCAAGTTGCTAGGAGTAACACAACTAAGTGCAGATGAGAATGCTGTGCAGACAAGCAACCTTTGCGTAAAGATCTTCAATAAGATGGGTGTGAATGTATCGATAAATGACTTGGACATCGCGCACAGGATTTCCACCTGAAGCGCCACAAGAGAAGGTCCGAAACCGATCCTTTGTAAATTCACCAGGCGGCTGGCCAGAAATGAAGTGATGTCCCTCCGTAAAGAAGAATGTAAAATTAATCCAGAAGAAATTGGTCTGCCACAAGCTGAAGAAATGATGAATGATTGGTAGAACATCTGACACCACGACTGCAGTTGTTATGCTAAAGGCTTCAAGAGCAGATATAATTTTGAGTTCTGCTGGGCCAAGAGGGCAACTATATTTCTTAGAAGGTCAACCAACAACTGAGCTCTGAAAATCAGAAGTTCTTCTGATTTGACCAGGCTGGAGCAACAGGAGCAAAGCATGTGAACTTAGGTTTGTTAGGGATCTTTTATTCGCATGTATTGAACTTTATTTTGCCAGAAAAATTATGGTTACTTCAAAATTAGATAAACAAAATCAAAATTACTTTCGTGAATTGCCCCATTCAGATTGAAGTGGTAGAGCGCCGGACTGTTGTGTGGGAGGTCGTGAGTTCATATCCGGCCGGACCAACACTCAGGGTCTCTAAATAACTGAGAAGAAAGTGCTGCCTTTGTAATAATATCTGCAAATGGTCAGACTTTCTAGTCTTCTCGGATAGGGACAATAAATGGAGGTCCCGTCTCACAAGCCCTTGTATGTGATAAAAAAAATTTGTGGGACGTTAAAGAACCCACACACTGTTCAAAAAGAGTAGGGCACATAATGCCCGGTGTTGTGGTCTATCTTTGTGTAGTGTCTATCAGACTGATGGGGGTATTGCGCCTTTGAATATTGCAGAGAAAGGGTGCAATATAAATAAGGAATTCATTCATTCATTCAAAATATTATCCAGTATCACAGTCAATTCAATAATCTCATGCCCAATGTTAATCTTCCTTCAAAACGATATTTAGAACGATTGCCTAGCTTCCACTACATTGATCTCTTTAGCTTAAATATTGATTTAAACTTCAACTCGAAGTCGGAATCTCCTTTATTTCACCCTATTCGCTGTAACTATTATTCACCACATAGTTTTAATCAGCTTAAATCTGAAAGATGTCAGCGTTCAGATCCAAAAACGTTTTCCTTAATTCATAACAATATAAGGAGCCTCAAATGTAATTTCAAGGACTCCCAAACTCATCTGTTGAACAAGCTTGATTTTCCTTTTAGATATTGGTGTTACAGAAACTAAAATTAGAAATGCAGATTTTGTTGATTTTAATCCCTTATTAGCAGGATATAATGTTTTAGGGCCATTGCTGTTTCTTATTTATATCAATGACATTTACAATGCTTCAGATAAATTAGCATTTTATTTGTTCCCTGACGATACAAATCTGCTATTTGCCGACAGAAACCATCTCTTGAAACAGTGGTGAATGTGGAACTAATGAATGTTTATGATCGGCTAGCCTCAAATAAACTCTGTGAAGAAAACCAATTTTTCCATCCCAGCTAGAAACGACTTAATTACAAAGTAAATCTAAAAATATATGATAATAACGGAAAACATTTCATTTGCCTGGAGTGCTAAGACTATGTGAAATATTTAGGTGTACTTATTGACAGTAACCTTACCTGGAAACATCATATCAGTCATACTGCATCAAAAATAAGTAAAGGCATTGGTATAATTTGTAGACCAAGGCATCTTGTACCATATTCAACATTACTAAATATATATAAATCACTCATTTATCCTTCTTTATCATATGGCCTTGTCGCTTGGGGCCAAGCAGCTAAGTCTCACATGGAAAAAATATTGATACTCCAGAAAAGGGTTGTGCAATTAATGAACTTTGCCAATTATAATTCACACGCCATTCCTTATTTTATATCGGCTAATATTATGCCAATTAATATGCTTTACGTAACTCTCTTCTCTCTTGATGCATGATGTTCATAACAATTTAACACCCTAATCTTTCTAGTATGTTCACTCTTTCTCACCAAATACACAATCATAATACCTGATCTTCATCTGCTGGTAACTATTAGTCATAAACTGTTCTAGGCTAAATCAACATAAAAACTCATTCTCAAAGATTGGTTGTAAAATTTGGAATAGCATCCCAGGAAACTTAAGGAATCTTCCAAAACATATTTTCAAGGAAATGATAACAACAACATTATTTCAAAATCTTCAAGTTCAGGATAGTTATGTTGATGTAGAATGAATAATCAATGATGTGATGAAAGTTAAATCCAGTTAATAGTAGTGTACAACTTATGTAATAATTTGGATATATCAACAAAGTTGAAATGGTAAATTGGCCACCGTAATGATTACAAAAGCTGACGTTTCAAGCGTTAGCCCTTCGTCGGAGCGAATAGAGGAATTGTGGGTTGTGTGTGCTTTTAAAGGCAGAAAATGGAGCTACGTTATTGGTGGGAGCATGGCAATGAGAAAAACATGAATAAATTAGTGGAATGAAAAGCATTCGTTGATCCCTGTGGGATTTAGACTGCCGGTTTGAAAGATGAGCTTTTGTTCAAGATTTTAACGGCTTTCCGTGCCACCTAAGTGCAAGGAAAGACGGCAGATTGCCATATGTTGCTTAGAATGATTAGGTAAATTAAAATGTCTGGTTTCGATGTGTCCTTGTCATTCCTTTCCACGTCTCGAAGGTGTTCTCAGAATCGGTCACCTAGTCTTCTGCCTGTTTCGCYGATGTATATCTTTTTGCAATAAGTGCAAGTTATGCAATAGATAACATTGGTGGAGGTGCACGTGAAGTGATCGGTGATCTTAATGGATCATTTAGGTCCCGATATTTTATCAGTGTTGTGAATGAAAAGACACGTTTTGCATCATGCAAGAGCGCATTTAAAAGTGCCTGGTTGGTCATTAGTCTGAAAAGAACTTCTGACCAAAAAATTGCCTATGTTTTTGTCACATTTGAATGAAATGAGCAGAGGCTGCAAAAAGATAGTGCTTGTCTCTGGATCGTTTTGAAGTAATTTAAAGTTTTTAAGAATGATGGATTTAACTGAGTGGTTGTGAGGGTGAAACGTGAGAGTGAATGGAATGCGGTCGGAATCTTCCTTATGCGACGTTTGTAGTGCTGAATGTCGATCAATAAGTTGAGCGCGGTGGTAACCCGCTTGAACGACAGAAACAGGCTTACCACGTTTATCGAAGAACTAGCACATTGACTCTACCACATTGAATTTACCATTTCAACTTTGTTGATATATCCAAATTATTTCGTTACTCCCACCAACGCAGCCCCAAACAGTTTCTTTCGAAACTATCAGCCTTTATAACTTATGTATTCTTCTATTTATTGTCATGTGTTTCTGTTTCTGTATTTTTATCTGATACTGTCATTTGTGTTTTACTGATTTAATATTTAATTTCTGTTTCTTGTATATTTATTGAATCTTTTGTTGAGCCGAATTTTATTTTAGATGTCTTAGCGTCCACACACTACCCGCCGAGACTAGCTCTGCCATTTGTGGGTAGTGCATCATTATGCTAAGTGTCGTGTCATGTCTGATTACAATAAAATACAATAAAAAAAATACTAAGGGAATGATGGTTGTTCCCTTTATAATCACAATTCAGGGATGAGGGACACTACTATAGCACCTCAAAGGCCAAGTTCTTTGACCACTGAGATAAATGATCAGATAAGACTCTTGTAAGAAGTCTGAGGACAATAAGAAATATATAGATTGTCACATATTCAATTCTATGTCAATGATTGGCTAGACTTTTTGCAGGCTAGCTCTACTTGGAGCAATATTGGACCAAATTGGATTATCCATCGTTAATCTTGGCGGGTACACTTCACACATCTGCTCTTGTATAGATGAATGACCGACTTTCGGTTTGGCAAAGAAACAAATTTTTTTATTTAAACATATTTTTCATTTTTTTCCCCCAAAAGCACCATGGCTTAACGAGGAGGGATTACAATATTACAAATTCAAATCAATTTGTCCAGGCTCACACACAGACACAAAGAACACACACAAGTTGCGATCAAAAAGAGTTGACTAACTACATGTAGAATAAAAAAACTTACCCTATGTTATCGCTTTTCCTGAAAACCCTGTGCACAAATCTCTTCATCATGGCTTTGTCAACATTTTTAGCCATCTCTCCCAATTTAAAACTATTCTGTGTTTGTTATCAAATTTACTCGTGTTTAGGTGACGGAAATTTGGCGGAAGAATACTCTCCTTACCAGTGTCCCTCGATCGTCCTTAGAACGGAGAATCAGCGGAGTCAGCGGTTAAATATTAGACGATTATGCGTGGCATCAACATTCAAGATGGCGGAGGTTAGTTGTTTCAATGTGATTGCTGCCTTCTTTCATGCTTCTAACTGATTCAGGAGATATTTTTTGTTTCAGGACATTGTTAAGCATTCAGTTCACACTCTAGTGTTTCGTTCTCTGAAGAGAAGTCATGATATGTTTCTTCATGATAACGCTCTACCGCTGAAAAGGGATCCAAAAAGGTAAAGATCTAGATGAGTTACCTTTGGTTGTAATAGGAATCCTTTCCCATGGAGTGTGAGTTTCCTGTGTTTTGGTTCTATAAGCAATCTGTTGATTATTAAACGGCTTCTTAATGGCCCCAGCGCACCCAACACAGTATTCGTATGGTTTAAATGGCAGTGTATGCTGCACACACTCTGCACCTAGTTTCTTTGTATTTTCTGACCGTGGGAATAGGTTTCTGAAAACTTCACATCGTTTTTGTTCACATATTTTTAGTATTGATCAGTATGGTGACAACGGTCCTGACAATGTCACGTCATTTTTCGTTCACATATTTTCAGTCTTGATCAGTATGATGACTAGTGGCTGATAACTAAGTCTGGGTTCCAAAAAGGCCTGGTTAAAAGTGTACTTGTTGGTTTGAATAAAGCTTAACTCTTGCAAATGATTAATGAAGGGTATGAAAAAATTAGAAAGAATTGAACAAGATATACATCTTGTGATTTACAAACTGTTAAACAGATTGAGAGTGTGGTCTATTGCTCAAATAAATTTTATAAGTCAAATTTTAACTAAACTTCAATGTTTTGGACATGATAATCTCATAGAGGGTCATCTTTCCGATAGATAAAAATTAGATTTAAGCTTCATCAAAAAAATTCAAACTATGGCAAATTTTCAACACATTTTACACACAGATTGCCATTATTTTTCTACATAGTGATGAAGTGAAACGGCTATGCAAAATGCGTGATGAATATTTTGTGGTGAAAGACTTGGTTCCTGCCAAAGAAAACACTGCATCTCATAGAAATCCAGTCATAGGAGAGTACCCATCACAAGAAGGTAAGGGACAGTCATTTAACTGAGTAGAAGGAAATATATTTTGATTTAATTCATACTTGGAAAGTGGCATTTTCTTTTATATCTCACATAATAAATATCCAATTCAGAAATAGGGAAGAGTAAAATTTGACCCAAGAACAGAATTAAGTCACATCATGTACATAGTTTATCCTGGTAGAATTACTAGGTGAAAATATTTGTTAATTGTTCAGAGTCTCAAACTTAAAGTTCAAGTTTTATTAAAAGTATTTTATTTAGCAACAAACTAGAAAATAGTCAGTTATTTTCATGTTTTACCATTACCTACCATTTTCTCTCACCCTGATTGACAAGAGGAATATCCAATTGAAAGAATATATAAGCATCTTTTTTCTTGAGGGAAGTGAAGTTAATGGTCGATTAATTTTTATTTCCCAGTTTCAGATGTGCCTCCATTGATACAAGGATCACATCCATATCCATCAGCACCAGGTAATCTATAAGGATGTTAGATATTGTACAGTTGAAGTGCCATTTGGGCTAATTAATTGAAACTTAGTTGAGAGTTGATCAATGGAAAATCTTCTCTAAATGTACTGTATTATCTAACTGATAATTGAAAGGACATAGCTGAACTTTTACCTGTAAGAAGCACACTTTTGGCTGTGTCCCACATGTGTTAGCTGTGGTTACCTATCCCAGCTGTACCGTATCTTTTATAGCAAAGTTTTCCCTTTATTTTAGTTCTGGATAATCATTTTGGGTCTGTGAATTAAACAAAGATTAGCTATTGTTTAACAAAACCACATTCTAACCTATCTACAATTTAGCTGAACCTTTTAAATGACCATTTGTATTTGTCAACAAAGTCAAGAGTGCCAAAAACAGTAGAAATAACATTATCTTACCTTAATCAACTCTCTTATCGAGAATACCTGAGGCAAACTGCTTGTGTTAAACTGCAGTTTGGGTTAGAACTTGTGTATGTAACCAGCTCTCTAGGTCTGATTTTATTCTCCTCATTTCGGAGCAGGTATGTCCAATTTTCTCTCCAGTACTTGGGGAAACATTCAATCACATTTCCAGACATACCTTAAGTCTTTTTAAAAAATAGATTAAAAAAATATGTTGACTTTGTTTGAAATCGTGCATGTTTTGCATGATTTCTTCACTATCTCTTCCAGAATTTCTGCTCAGGCCTGTTTTCCAGTGGATCAGATAGTTTGACAGACAATTTGTGATTAACTGTCAGCTAAACAATACTTGTTATCATTATAACAGAATGACGATTCTTTTATACCCTTCTTGTGAAGCTTGTGATTAGGTGGTGTGTTGTTTGCTTATGGCCTGTCATGCAATAAGCTGTTTTCTTAGGGGTTTTGATCATCATGGAATTTTCTGAAATACAATACTTTTTTTCTTTGAAAACTCCCTGACAAGGTTTTAAACTGATTTTGTTGTATGTTAGGTGTGGTACTTACTGCAGACACTGCAGTGAACACAAGGTCTCCATCACAAGCTGGAGTTCAGCAACTTATGTCAGGTCTACCACCTTCAGCATCACAGTGAGTGTTTTATGTATACTTGTACAACTGTGAGAGTTTTGTTATCACTTTTTACATGGTTCGTACAATCTTGAAAAGGTCTTGAATTTTAACAGTCATCTTGAAAAGTCCTTGAATTTGGTTAAGTCCTTGAAAAGTACTTGATTTCTTTAGTAGGTCATGAAAAGTCCTTGAAATTTAGCAACTTCTGTGTGCCTTATAGCTTTTCTGATAAATTAAACGATTTTGCTATGGAAAATTTGTCCACTAGTAACTACCAAAAAGCAAAAATTGTCGGTATAAAACATGAGTAGTACATGAACCAAAGTTGGATCTTTGCCTCAATTTCATGCTCAAGGCCTCCGATGTGGGGTAGTCCATCATGTGCTTTTGTTTTAAGGGGCAACGTAAATATGTACTGGTTTGGCTATGTCTTGGTCGATGAAATTTTCATTTCCCTTTGTTTTCAATTTAATTGATGGCCAAATGTGTATTAAATTGTAAATGGTTTAGATTTATGAATAAACTTAGTCCTTGAAATCCATTTTTTGTACTTGAAAAGTCCTTGAATTTTGTTTGTCTGTAGTTGTACGAACCATGTTTTCATATTTCTCACTTAAAGTTGCCCTACCCTAGTTGTTGTTACTTTTGACAGTGATGAAATTTTTTTTGACTGAACAGAAAAATTGTTTGCTTGAGTCCAAGGGCTTCTACCTGTAAAGAATCTTCAAGATATTGATTGTAAACTCAAGTAAATATCAGAGCTTGATTGTATCTTCTCCTCTTTGTTTTGTATTTATCATTTTTTTTATATAAACACATGCAGACTCCAATCACAAAAAGAGAGTACAGGTGTTTTGGCCATTCAACAAAAGGCTTCAGCATCAGGTGGAAAAGAGAGACTTGGACCCCCATCCAAAGCTTTGGTTTCAGTTGGAGGAAACAAATCATCGACAGCATTAATTCAGCAAAAGAAAGCAGCAACCTTGCCTAAACCACAGTGGCATCCACCATGGAAGCTCATGAGGGTAACAACTGTCCCTTTTCATTATATTTCTGCCCAAATGGTTTTGAAAAAAGGAAATTAAATTTGTATTAAAAAAAATTAAAAATTAGTCAATCAGTTAAATTGAATAAACCATAGACAAAATGAAGGCATTGTGTATTAGGTCTTTTCTACATTTTTATTTTTTATTTGTGTATACACTTGATAGATGTGTGTCTTAGCCACAACAAAGGTGCTCTTTCTAATATCTATAGTAAGAATGTAAGTAATAAATGATACTGAGTGATGTAATTGTAATGAACAATAATTGCAAATAATATGAGAATGAGTTCCTGTCAACTAGGTATTCTCCAAAATGCCTGACAAAGCCAAATTGAAAAACTAAATTAATTATCAGAGGTGTGAATGACTTCTCAGATTTACAACACTGTAGAAATTTTAAATGAGGCATTCAGTCTTGGGAAACATAATGCTACAGTTTTGGACTTATGGTTGCTGCTTTAGGTAATCAGTGGTCATACTGGTTGGGTAAGATCAGTTGCAGTAGAGCCTGGTAACCAGTGGTTTGCTACAGGATCTGCTGACAGGACAATCAAGGTACAGCAAGTACATGTATCTTGTCAACCATTTATCTTGTCTACCTGATCTTCTCAGGGCTTTAGTGTTACTAGAGGAATAACAATAAAGTGTGCATCTTCATGGTTAAACATTGTGAAGAAAACTTTTGGTTCACTTCATTGTGTGCTCTCTTAGGTTACTCTAAAGTTACCAAAATGTAAAATGACCAATGGCTTACAAATTGCACTAAATGGACAATTTTGTGTTGTTTGTGGAAGTCCTCCTTCAACACTGGACAACAACACCATTGAAGAAAAGTTTCTTTAGAAGCAACCTGGTTACTCTTGCTTTGGTCAACCACTGAAAAGTAGACTTGTTTCAATTTTCAGAAAGTGTCATCTAACCCTGTATTGACTTTTTGTCACTTAAATATGAAACTATGACCTAGGGCCCAGATGGTAGGGGACATGGGGGGTTCTGAATACCACAACACCACAAACAAAAAAAACAAAACCACATCATTGCACAAAAAATTATCAACACACCAACACTGCGATATAGTCTAAGTCTTAGGATTTACCTGGTCTGGTTTCACTCATCTTTTCCACACACTGGTCTTTGGCTGGCCAATGGTACTTGTAAAGGCTGATAGTTTCAAAAGAAACTGTTTGGGGCTGTGTTGGTGGGGGTAACGAAATAATTTGAATATATCAAAAAAGTTGAAATGGTAAATTGGCCACTGTTACGATTATAAAAACTGACATTACGAGTGTTAGCCCTTTGTCGGAGCGAATAGTACTTGTAATAGTAGTTATAGAAGAGGTCCAGAGGTCTGGACATGGCTTGGGGTCAATCAGCTAATGTTTACTAATAAAAGGTTAACTCAGAGGTATTGGTTATTTTTTTGACAATTGACCATGGGTTATCAAAATGTAGTTTTTGAAAGAATTAAAGAATAAACTGCAACACTGGAAATAGTTTATTTCACTGAACACTATTGGTTTGAAATTACAAACATCGCACACCATAACATTTGAGATCATTGCAGCACGGCAATGCAAGTTGTTCTTCACCACAAAACTGCATTAGAAAAAGGGTCAATATCGCGACACCACAAATCCCAGTGTTCCCCTCTGAATAGTTTGCATTTTGAACTGGTTTGCTCCTTGTGAGAAGTCATTGACAAGAATGCTGTCTGTCATGATGTCATCTTTGAGTACATTTTATGATTTATTTTATTCAGATATGGGAGCTTGGAAGTGGCAAACTGAAGTTATCCTTAACTGGTCATATAAGTACTGTACGGGGTTTAGCTGTGAGTCCAAGACAGCCATATCTGTTCTCATGTGGGGAGGACAAGCAAGTCAAATGCTGGGACCTGGAGTACAACAAGGTACTTTTACATGGGTACTCACCAAAGTGGACAAACATAAATCACTCTGACTATTGATTTGTTTTAACCTAAGCTTGTTCTTGTTTCTAAATTGTTTCAGGTTGTGCGGCACTACCATGGTCACCTGAGTGCTATTCACTCACTGGACCTTCATCCTACAATTGATGTGTTGTTCACTTGTGGTAGAGATGCAACAACCAGGGTGAATTTTCTACCTGTAGTTGTTATTTGGCCTTTATATTAAAGTATATCAAATACACTGAGGTAGCCTTTTAAGGCTTTTCTAGCATACACCAGTTAATTATGATCATAATCACATGAAGGATATGATAAGGATAATGAAAATTGTGATGATGGTCTCAAAATACGTATAAGAAAAAACATACGACGAAGTTTGTAGAGCTTGCAGCAGGAAAAATTCACAAGTTTCCTTTTTCAGTTTGTACCTGCTACAACAAGACTATGGGCAATCCCTCCTTTTTGGTAAAGTCTGTTGTGGAAGTAAAAAAAAATCAATATAAAAAATAGATGTGAACATGCTGCAGAGAGCTCTGAGAGTTAGGTGCTTGAAAGGAAGGGACTACAGGCTTTGACCTTGGCTTTGACCTTTGATTTTCAGGCATCAAATTGTGATCTCTGTTAGGTTAGGAAGGTTTTAGTGAAGATAAGGCTCAAGGATGAAATTCCTTAGAAGATAATTAGGAAGGGCAGGCCGGTAACTGAATCATCATGGAATGAATTTTGCCATGTGTGTGCTTGCAATTTGCATTCAGTGATACTGAAGTGATGTAAAAATCTCATGTCTAAGGCTTAGTTTGCACAGGGCTTAGAATATGAAGTCATGGATGTTGACACGGTTCTCAAATACCAAATGTCTGGTAGTTGGAAATTTCTAAAAATTTATGAAACACATGGTAGATAAGGCTCTTTCCAAAGCCTGTTGGCAAAATTACCAGAACACCCTTTCCATAAATAAGAGCTTCAAGCTTCAGTCTACTTGGGTCTTTAGCAAACTAAGGTGGGAAACAGCATTAAATGTTCATAAGCCATTATTAATCTGAAGTGTTGAAAAGTGTTGACATGCATAATCACTTGTGGACAGATTTCGCACCCACCCAAATTAGCCTACTTTTGTGTTGTGAACGCTACGAAAAATTCAAACTCTTTGGCTTAGTCTGTGTTCCCTTTTTTTCAAGCCCCTCACTCCCAGAGATCCCCACAGCACCCTAACATCAATTTTGTCTCACTGATTTCTTTGTGACTTGCACAATTTACTTTTCCAAAAAAAGAGGTTCTGCTCCTTGTCTAAGTTACCACTGCCCCCATACAGGGAAATAAGTAATTGATTTACTTCCCCTGGTTTTCATTTGAGTGTATGTTTATATTGAAAATTTGTGCTTGGAATCAGCGAGATCCCGCACTAAAAATCACAATCACAATCTTGAATCTTTAGTGAGAGTTATCTTGTAAGAATTTTTAGATGTTGTACAGACAGTAGTGATTCACCTTGTAGATTATTTTAAGAGAGCAATATTGTCTTCAGGTTTGGGATATGAGAACCAAAGCCTGTATACACACTCTGACAGGTCATACAAGCACAGTGGCAGTTGTTAAAGCTCAGGCTGCAGAGCCTCAGGTTAGCAAAATGCTTGATCTACCTATTCTGGCAGAGAAACTTGTAACTTTAGTTTATGTAAGGTATAATTAAAGTGCATTGTTGTTGTTGACAATAACAGGACAGGCACACTTTGAAGACTTATTCACTGGCAGGCACAAAAAAATATCTACTCATACATTTAACCGAGAATGATTATTCATTAGAATGAACATCAGGTGGAAATGCATGATATGTTTCTTCATAACTGATGATCAAACAGTGAAGTATACTCAAATGTGTTTTCAGCATTAATTTATTATTTGATAAGTAGTTAGTACAAAAATGTTAAAAAATTATAAAAGTTTCAATTGATGAAAACTGAAACTAAAAGGCATGTTTGAACAATTAGTATGTGTAATCAAATGGCAACAAGTGAAATTAGGAAATAATTTCATGCACGTTTTGTCAAAATTCTGATTATTTTTCTGAGCCTTTAGGCAAGGGAAATTATCAGAATTTTGACAAAACGCAAGTGAAATTATTTCCTAATTTCACGATAAAATCATTTGATTACCTTTTAATATCATGGGTGACAAATCACGTTCACAACCATAATTGTTTTTACTGGTTTATTGTATCGAAAACCGAGAACATGAAGAAGAATATAGTTTTCATTTAAAGCATACATTCATTTAAAGCATACATTCATTTAAAGCATGCATTCATTTAAAGCATACTGTTAAAGTTCGTAATTTTCTGAGTTTCTTCACAAAAAATACCTTTCGAATTCTTCATGCCTATTAATAATTTTTGGCCACTTTTAATTTCGTAACTTCTTTAAGGGTCACCACCGTCTTAAATCTTGATGCCATCTTGGCTCTGATCAAGATACAAGAGATGTTGCCATGGCATTTATTAAAAATTAATGCCGAAATTTTGTGCCAAAATTAAGGAGTAATTTGTCACCTATATTATTCTGGTAAATGTCCCTGGGGACATTCTTTTGGCATCTCGAGCTGTCAGTGAGATTCTTTCAGCATTAAACAATACTAGTGAACTGTTGATCAGAAGATGTTTTATATGAAGGTTTTAATCATCAAAGATCATTTTTTTCATTTTGTTAGGTTATCACAGGAAGCCATGACTGTACTATCCGTCTGTGGGACTTGGCAGCTGGCAAGTCTAAAGTCACCCTCACTAATCACAAGAAAAGTGTTCGATCTGTAGTGTTACATCCAACACAGTAAGTAGCAGACAATTGGGTACATTTGAAGACAAAATTAGAAGTCATTGATCAGACTTATCTACCAGTTAGTTATTCTGTCAATTGTCAGTCAAATAGTCAATCTATTAGTCAGTCAGTCTTAATTGATCTGTCTACCTGTCAGTATATCCTTTTTATTTGTCAGTTTACCAAGTGATTTGTTGGTGGCATGATCCATGCAAGAGTCAGATATTCAGTCAGTGAATACCAAATTATGCTGTCACCTGATTTTATATCCTTATTATATACCCACATGTAATAAGATGTCTTCCTGTCCTTTATCAGAATATCGATTAAAATTATGCTAGCCCATCTCATCGAGATGTCAAGTCCCAGGCAATGGATGCAGTTAAATGATCATGAACACAGTCCCCAGCTGGAGTAAAGAACTTGGTTCTACCTTTCAAAATGAACCTGCCATATGGTTTCTTAGATATAATCACAACAGAGTAACTTTGCAGCTGTGGAGTGCCCTGTAAAATTACTGTTTCGTGAGATTTTGTGTTTGTTTTCCTGTTAGGTTTTCATTTGCATCAGCATCTCCTGACAACATCAAACAGTGGAAGTTCCCAGATGGGAATTTCCTTCAGAATCTGATTGGACACAACTCAATAGTGAATTGCATGGCAGTAAACCCAGATGGTGTCTTGGTCTCAGGAGGTAAAGTTGTGGTTGCAACTGCTTTGTAACTGTAAGTGCTTTCACAAAGAATTGGGACTTGTTGGGTATTGAATAAATATTCATTAAATTTGAAAGAAATATTTTGAACCCCTCAGATTCTAAAAATCAAACAAGTACTTCAGTAATATAATAACCTAAGGTAGAGTTGTTACAGATATGAGCAATTGCTCTATCAATGAAACTGTGCACATCTCTTTGTAATGAACTGAAATAAAACTTGTGTTCCCCTTTGGCTAAGGTTAGATATTTTTTATCCTTCATCAGGTGATAATGGAACAATGCACTTCTGGGATTGGCGTACTGGTTATAATTTCCAGCGATTACAGGCAGCTGTACAACCTGGCTCCCTTGATAGTGAGGCTGGTATCTTTGCAATGACCTTTGACTTGAGTAGCAGTCGACTCATCACATGTGAAGCTGATAAAACAGTCAAAATTTATAAAGAAGATGACACAGCAGTAAGTATCATACCCTTTGTTCTGGGTGAAATTATTGTTCATAATGGAGTTCCCATCGACAGATAATCCTTCACTCTTGCCCTCCTTTGCTGCTTGAAAAGTTGATTGTTTAATGTGCTGGATACTTGTATTGTGACAGAATCTGTAATTTTTTTCTCCTTTCAGAGTGAAGAAACTCATCCTGTGAGCTGGAAACCTGAGATCTTGAAGAGGAAACGATACTAGACAAACTTTCTCAGGCACTTCACTCCCACTACTTTAGTATATTAAGAGTTCCCAACTATCTTTGAGAAAAAAGATGTCAAGGTTTGAATTACAATCTGATCATGATTGCCTTTCAATTACACAAATTTCAATTTCAAGACACAAGCATTTCTCTCACATTTCCTTTTCCAACGATCATTTTGCAATTTACAGGCTTGGTCCACAGCAATAGTCAGTTTGACCAAGATCTGGTTTAAGTTAATATTAAAAGTTTCGGCAAGGCCTGTAAAGCACAATCACTTCAAATGTTGTGGAACCATACACTTAAGATATTTTTGTGTGCATCAATCTTTCCCATCTAAGGCATCAAATTAAATTGTTGGCATTCATATTACCACATAAGCCAGGAGTTGACTCTCCAAACCTTGTTACCTAAAGTGACATCTTGAACTCCAAGAGTATGATGAAGAAATTCAACTGATACACTGTAACCAAGTGAGCAGTCTTTACCTTTGCCCCTTGCCCTGAGATTCACAGTGCCATTAACATAAAAACAAGGGGGTACCTTTTGCCATTGCAAGACAACTTAATCACTTAAGTTCTCTCTCATTTTATCAAATAAGAATTGAGTAGTTCCTACATTTTCTATTACTTTTTCTTCCACTTTCCTTTATTTATTTCCTTTTCAATGCTAAGGCATGTTTCCTTTGGTTAAGAGAAGCAAGCTGGCATGTAAAAAAAAAAAAAAACACAGTTGGACAGCACAAAAGCAAGTTACATTTTTATTGTCGTTACAGCATCATTTAGGATCGAGGCCGTTCCTTCTTCTCTTTGAAAAGAGCAAGAAGTGAAACATTAGCAACCTTTACAACCTTAAACCTCACACCAGGAATATCACCAACAGCATGACCTCTTCTGCCAAAACCAGAGATTAGAACTTCATCGTTTTCTTCAATGAAATTAAGGCAGCCATCATTTGGCACAAAAGCAGTGATCTTCTTTCCATTCTTAATGAGCTGTACACGAACACACTTTCGAATAGCAGAGTTCGGCTGCTTGGCTTCGACTCCCCTGGAAAATGAACAATTAATTGTCAACTGTTGTGAGCCAGTGAATATGTGAATATGCCAAAATACTTAACACCTAATTGAAATCATTGATAAAGACAAGAAGCTGTTTAGAAACGTAACCCAATGCTTCCCACCAAAAAAAAAACCCTGGAGGTTGAAGCAAGGCAATGTTCACTTTTTAACAGTACATTAAGATTCCCTTATGTGTTTGATTTCAGTGCTTTGCAAAACATTACTGTACTTTCTTTATTGCAGGCCCTTAATTATGCAACCACCACAATAAGTCCCAAATGCAAGACTGATAACCAAAATTCTTCAACACCCTTCCCTCAAACTAGCACTACAACATCCACAGAAGAGCACAAACCTCATTTGCCCTGAACAATAATTTAGCCGAGTTTCGATTGACTGAGGTCTCATAGAATTTGAGTATATCCAGTGTCGCCAAATTCTGAGTTTACTTCAATGGCAACGTAATTACTTATGTTGAAAAAGACAGACTGTCCAATAACAGGCTGTAGTAGGGCGAAGGAATTCCTTAAGTATGTATGTGAACTGGTGACTGAGTTAATCTGCTATTCTAGGCAGGAATAAGGCAGGCCGCCCAGTGAATAAGATCACATTTTCTTTCCGAGGATTTTAGCACTGAAAATTCATGGTTTCCCTCGATCCAGTGACTCTAACCTCGCTAATACTTATAACTAACTTAAATTACTCGTTGAAAACTATGAGATCAATCTTATACTAAACAATGGGCGGAATAATATCTGAGACAGCTTCACAGACTAGATACAGAAGCTTCATCTTGCACACTCCAAATAAGAGTACATATTCATAGTAAGAATTGATCTCAGCCACATCGTCCAGCAATTCGTTTAGGAGTTCAAGAAAGACTTTAAATACATACACTTTCTCGAGAACAATTCCCTTGGCGTGAGAGGCGCCACCAAAAGGGTTAGCCTTTAGAGCTGTTCCCAAATGCGCCTTCTTGTATCCTTTATCGTGCCATCTTTGGTCACGGCGATGGTTTCTGAGTTTACGAGCGGTCCTTAAACCTCTTGGCTTACCTTAAGAAGACACAAATAGTTTTAAAGGAGTAAGTGGAAGTACTTTGAAGTAAATTATCAGTATTTGTGGTGTTTTAATACATAAAAAGTTAGTAATTTCGAACAACACGTGTTTATCTTACCCATGTTCTAACACCGAGAACAACCGAAAAGGACGATCCACAGTGCACCGCGCGGATTTATGCTTACTATTATGGGATGAAAGTTGTTGGCCCATAAGCCATTGCGCGTCCTGCTGCCTCTGAAAAATGGGTAAAGCGTTCATGTTGGGTCCATATATCACGTCCCAATAATTAATATCCTCTATTGCTAAGTGCTATAACGTTCGTATATGGCACAAAATATGTCCTAGTTAACCTTGTTCTACCAGTTACCCTCATCTTCCCTGAGTTAGCCTTTTTCTACCACATTAACCCCCATCTAACCTAAGTTACCCATGTTATATTATACCACGTTAACCCCCATCTACCTTAGGTTACCAATGTTCTACCATGTTTAGCCTCATCTACCCAAAGCTACCCATGATTTACCACGTTTACCTCCATCTACCCTAAGTTGCCAATGTTCTACCACGTTAACCCTCATTTACCCTGGGTTACCCACGTTCTACAACGTTTACGCCCATCTACCCCAAGTTACCCATATTCACGTTTATCCCCATCTACCCTACGTTAGCCATGTTCTACCACATTAACCCTTATTTACCTAAGTTTTCCATGTTCTACCCCGTTTACCACCATCTACCCCGAAGTTGCCCATGGTCTACCACGTTAACCCTCATCTACCCTAATTTAGCCATGTTCTACCACGTTTGCCCCCCATCTACCCTACATTAGCCATGTTCTACCACATTAACCCTTATTTACCCTAGGTTACCCATGTTCTACCACGTTAACCCTCATCTACCTTAAGTTAACTGCGTTCAATCCTTTTAACCCCTTTCTATCCCAAATTCACCAAGTTCTACTACGCTCGCCATCATCTTTCCTATGGACAGCTGTTCTACCTTTCAATCCCACACGGCTCTACCCTGAGTTGGCCACATTTAGACACGTTTATCTTCACCTACCCTTTGTTAACTTTGCATGTGTCTTCTTGTCGACCGACATATACGTCAAGTCCACTTTATTCATTTAATCACTTTCACCAGAGTGTGGTGAGGGTCGCACAACAGAGCGAGGCTCCAAATTAAGTGCGCCCAATATCCCACCCATCCCACCCCAGGGGAGGACATCCATCACACAGTAATCTCGTGTGTGGGAAATTAACGTCTCCTACCCCAACCCTGCAGGAGACGGGACCTCCATTTATTCGTCCCTATCCGAAAGACTAGAATATCTAACCATTTCTTGATGTTATAGAAAGGTAGCAAATTCTCCTCAATTATTTTAAGACCGTGAGTCTTGGTCCGGCCGGGGCTCGACCCCTCGACCTCCCGCACAACAGTCCAGCGCTCTATCCATTGAGCTAACCGTTTAGGCTCACCTACCCCATGTCGGCGCCGTTCTACGGTTTGTTCACCCACATATATTCCGAGTCAGGCACGTTCTTTCACGCTCACCCTCATACATTCTGAGGCGTGACATTTATAGCGGATATATGATAAATGGCTTATTATTGATCGAAGCAAAGATGGTCTTTGATACCATGGACTGTGGAATGTTTTGTTCAAGAAATAAGAGGGCGACGGGTTTTGCGGCGTTCTCTCGACTTTCTTTATTGGTGGTTTGCAAACATTCGAGTTTTATATTTAAACTGTCAGCAAGAAGAGTCTCATTGCATGACATTGGATAGTAACGCTTGGGGTATTGTCAACAAGATTTTCTTAGAACTAGCAAAAATGAAATGTAGTTCATCATTTCATTCGTCATCAGAGATAAAGGAGTATAGTTTCCTGGTTAGTTTTACGCTGTACTTTATCCATGCTGTTCCTATAGACTTGATCCTATCTTTTTCACCCTCTACATGTCCGTTGCGTCTCCCTTTTCAGCGTTAGATGCTCGTTTTATCGTTTTATCATGTAAAAAATTCTTGAAGTAATTACTGTGCCATGAGTGTTATTAGTTTTAGGTCATTTGGGATTTAATGGACAGTATAAGGGACTAGAAATTCGATTAATAATAACGCACTTACAAAAGAAATTGATTAATTATTTTTGTCAGGGGAATACGATACCGTACTAAAGTGCACTTCGCAAAAGTTCAAGATAAGAAACCTCGGCCTCGGGAAGGGTGATGGGGTTCTGAACGATAACGAAAATCCCAACTGATTTCGAGCATTTTTAAAAGTGGTAAGTTTGCTCAAGAGAGAAATGCCCCTGGTATCACGACATAATAAAGTTACAAAATGAAGTATTGCAAGTTTTTATTATCACAGATCTCGTTTCTGAGGCAGTGGAAGAAGGTTTGGAGTGATCATCTCTTTGGAAAAATTTAAATCACCTAAAAGTATGAGCTTATACAACAAAACTATTTAACTACGGGTGACTATTATAAGCCGGCCACATCTGTTTTCCTTTTCTATAAAGTACATTTCGTTACCCATCAGAACTGTAAATCACTAAGATCGGTCACGTTTTCTCAGGCAGTACCGTATGTTTTGGTAAATATGTGTAAACATTCGAGAAAACCATGGATTTGGAGGCGTATTCACCAACAAAACGACCGGTTTGGCCGGTCTCTTCCGACAAATGTCAAGCACTCTCTGATATATTAGGTTTATTACTACACCAGCACTTATTTCGACTTTGAATTTCATAATTTCTCTCATAACCGATACTCATATCTTGGGCTAACAACTTTTTGGATTTCACTTCCGGTAGGTTGGGGCACTCATTACTATTTTTGAAATTTTTGCTTTGTAGCGATTGTCTTATCTTTTCACCAGAATGTTGTTTACAAATTGTAACCAAGCCCAAAATATTTTTCTTTTCAATAAACTCTTGCACACTCTCGAAAATCGTTTTCCCTCTTCATTAAATCTTTGCTCTAGAGCTCGCGAAAAACTATACTTCACTTCCCAAGGGGTGTGAATGCATCGTTGATCGTGAGTTGACGTGATAAAGTATGGGGCTGGTCGTTTCCAACAGGTGCAAACATTCGTTGACTGAAAATTTCTGCATAATCTACTGCGTAACGTAGCATTTTTAGTTTTTCTGTCTGCAGTAATTCTTCCTCCACTCGCTTTCAGCATCTTCAGTCCCTATCAACAACAACAATCTTCATTTGTACTCCCTTGCCTACGTCAAGTTAAAAAAACAAAATTGAAATAGAGTATTGGTTGTCTGGAATAACCATAGGGGCTAACGGAGCCAGATAGCCAGTAGACAATAACATTAAATGAACATAACTTAATGGTCAGCGAGATAACACTAATACACATATAAAAAGAAAGAAAAGAAAAGGAAAAATGCTATCACTACGCTATTAGGGAAGTCTGAAATAATTAGATTAAAATATGAGTATAAAGCATTAATATAAGAAAAGCACGCACGTAGTAAATGTGACAGTTAATAACATTATAACAACGTTTTCATATTATATAAACTATAAATGAACTTATATCAAGGCTTAGAAAGGTCGACAGAATTTAACGAAAGAATAATTAACCAGATAATTTGGGAAAACACACGACTGCAATCTAAGATAATATAAATAAATTTATCTAATGATCATTAACGAGATCATATTTGATTGATTCCTTGGATTTTGTAAGAGAAAAGGATTTAGAGTTTTCACTCGTAGAGTTCCATACTTCAGGACCCTTAAATCTTATATTGAACATGCCATAATTTGTTCTTACTTTACGTAAAGTGTAGAACATATTAAAGCACTTCTAGTATCGTAGTTGTGTCTTTGGTTGACTTGTGTAAAGAAGGTATCAAAAACAGATGGTAGACATCTGTTATGAAATTTGTACATAAAGACTACAATGTTAAGAAAGACAAGATTAGGCAGCTTAATAATATTTAAACGCTTCAAAATTGGACTTGAATGGTTATGAAATGTAGAAAATGTTATGATTCGAATTGCTCTCTTTTGTAAAATGTAGTGAACCAGACTGAATTAAGAATCGAAACTGATCCAACAGCTTTAACACTCATTTAAGACAAAATATAATTTCTGTGTCTTGCAGATTCTGAAATATCAGTCAACGATAATCTTAAAGGCTGTTCCTGTGACAAACATACGGCAAGAGGAAGCAAGCCATCGTGCCTTCCATCCACACGCAAGGTTTGCTCTTGTGTGCCGAAAGGGATAGGATAGGATAGAATAACTTAATTCATACACGGTTTTTCCATCAGTTGATTTAGTTAATTCTATACTAGAACCCTGTCTATCTAACTACAATAATAATTTGATAACAACAATTCGAATAAAAAAAATTCTGCTTTATCATGGAGGTCGTGTCTAAAATTTACTTAGAATTAAGATCTTACTTTAAACTGTGGCGACTTAATTTAGATTTGAAATCAGTCAGCGAAGACGCTTGTCTTAGGTCTACAGGTAAGTTGTTCCACAACTGAGCTCCGCTGTACAAAAAACTTCTCTTGAGATAGTCAGTTCGAGGTTGTGGAAGAACTAATTTATTTTTGGTATTCCTTAGACGATAAGCACTTACACTGTCACGATATACAAATCTTGATCTCAGGTAATCAGGTGTCATACCATGTAATGTTTTAAACATTAGGATAGATTTCTGTTCCAATCTTTGATAGTAGAGTCTTCGCCACCCTAGCGCCCGCAACAAATCATCCAAATTGGATGTCGTGTAGTAGAAGCCGTGCAGTTGCAAAAACTGTGGTAATTTGAACCAAGATCCAGGGACCAATGGGGAAGATACAGCCGGTAAAATGCCACATAGACACTTAAGCTGTAGATGTGGAGAAAGTATGGCTAAGAAGAGAGACGATACCAAAACATTCGCAGCCTGCAGGGATGGAGTAATCAAGTCCAAGTACCCTTGCCTGGGACTTGGACAGAGATGCTCCTCTTTATGCTCCTGTGTCGGTTGCGAAAATCACTGAGTGTGMACGGTGCCAGTTCTCGCCGCCCTACCTCAAAGCCGTCAGGGGTTAAGAGGAAAAGGTCACCTGGAATTAATAAAAGGCTGAAGGAATCAGAGTTCCTATCGTCGACAGGAACTCCGCAAACACGCAGACCATGGACAAATTATGAGTCAGT